TTAACAGTTTGTTATGAGGATAATGCAGAAGAAGCGAATGAACAGAAAAAACCAAAATACGACGAATTACTGGAAAATTGTAGGAGCAATGGATGGAAGGCAAGCTGCAAGCCAATTGAAGTAGGCACAAGGGGTTTTGTAGCAAAATCACTAGTCGGCGCCCTATCAGATATTGGAATAGTTTTAACAAAAAGACGAAAGGCTATCCAAACTATTACAGCAGAAAAAAAAACCCCAGCTAAATGGTTATGGCTAAAACGAGCCAGTGCATGGACAAGCAATCAGGGAAAAAAGGTAGTCCAAGTTCGAGATAGATTTTTTTTCTTTTGTTTTTTTTTTTTAAAAGATATTTTACGCAGTAACAAATTTATAAATCTTTAATTGTATATTATTTTAATGTAAATAGTATAAAGATATGTCACAGCTTATAACTAATTATAAATGCCGTATTTGTTTGTAAATATATATAGTCAGAAAATTAGTTGTAGATTTTTTTTTTTTTTTTAACTTTTTTATCAACTCTCCCAATTTTAACTTATTCATCTATCTTATTTTATTTTTTTATTTTTATTTTTTAGAATTTTTAAATGTTGGTAAAGTTATTTATTTTTTTTTTTTAGCATCTTTTGTTGACAACATCGTTCCCCGGGTCAATTGTTTTTTCGTCGTTTTTTATTTTTTTTTTTTTATTGCTTAATAGAAGTCTTTTGACTTCCATTTTATCTCTTTTTTCCTTTTCTGTCACCAACTATGGGACTATATATGGAATAATAATTATTTGGGACTAATTCTTGTTAAACGTCTTACCTAGCATCATTGTTCTCCCTTCTTTCCGCTTTTTTTTTTCGCGTAATGATCAAAATTCTAAATTTAATTTTATTTGTTAATCTCACACGTTAACTTTACCACGTTAATCGATAGATTTAATCGAATTTTCTAAGTTTAATCGTTCAACTTGTTTTAAACGACCTTTATTTTTATATTTATTTTCGTTTTAACACGCTGCAGAAGTCATAATTTATTTATTTTAATCGTAAAAACAATGTAAATTTCTAATTATTTTAAGGTTGCATTTTTTTTATTATTTTATTGTTTTATTTTTATTTATTTTTTTTATTTACTAACAGTAATTATCAGTTGGAGAGATGAAACTTGAAAAAAGTAAAAAAAAAGTAAAAAAAAGAAACCGGAAAACACATAATTACCGACATAAAAAAAAGAAAAAGTAAAAAATCCCCCGTAAACAACTTAAATAGGGCTCACGCCATTGCGATTGTCTGTTGGTCAACTTCCAATCAAATGCGTGACAGAGGGATAGGGTTTGCCTAATATAAGTCAGTGTCTACAGGCTGTTAATTTAGATGGGGGGGGGCATCAGAGATTGATCAGCTCTGATGGGGTGGATTTGGTGAGAGGAGTATGATGTTTGAAAGACGCGAAAATGCCCAATGACCCAAATCAGAACGTCACTGACGACGCCCTCTAGCGCTAAAGAGCGTATATTCAAAGTAATCATATGATCTTTCTTTTTTTCTTTTCAGATAATAAATTATATAAAAACTGTCCAATTGTTCTTTTTATCCGAGCGCTTTCGGCTATGCATTTAGCCATTTTATCACCTTGTCTGTCGTATTCAATGAAATGTGCATATATATATATATTTGTGTGTGTGTGTGTGTGTGTGTGTGTGTGTGTGTGTGTGTGTGTGTGTGTGTAAACAAAACAAGCCAGGCATTCCAATATGACCCATAATATCAGGGAAAACAACACACCGCATAAAATAAAAAAATGTGTGTAATATATATATATTATATGTGATGGCATATATGTATGTGTGTGTGTTCCCGGGTGGGAATATATAAAGGGACACATATACGTGTATATGTACAGGTGTGTGTAAAACCATAACACGGGTTGATTCAAGCCTTGCGAGTGAAATTGGGTAGACGGAACCATTGAGGGCCGTCGATAGCTGTGCTAGCACTAAGTCACAAGTCATCATGGCCGAGGGCTTCAGCATGCTGGCCTTGTTCAAATTGTTGATCCCGCTAGATAACACGCTCTAGAAGAAAGAAAACTCTAAGTGTTCTGCTCAGCATAGTTACTTTATAAACCACATGTGTGTTGTGTAGGTGTTGAATAAATGCAAATGCGCCTGAGCAAGCGTCTGCAGTAGGAATTGGATAACCGCCCTAGTAGATGGATACCCTCGAATACGAGTGGCCAGCTATACGTTATATATATATATATATATATATATATATATATATATATATATATATCGCAATGTTGGTACAGTTATTTATTATCCTGTAATTCCAGCTTTTTTTTTTAAATATATTTGGCATTTCAAATAAACTGGATTTATAATATACATGCAAAAAATATTTTAGAGTTTTATAAAAAGGGAGGTTACTTGTTCTTTTTCAGCAACAAAAAAACAACACAATTTAAATTATAAATTAATCTGAATCAATGTGTTTGGCCAGATATTTATTTTTATGCCTACATGCAGCCAACAATTCATTTCTCTTGTTTAATAAGCTGGGGTTATTTAAGTGTTTTAAGATAACTAATTTTTCAACAAGATATATATTACATTTATTGCCTTTCCCATTGTAATTAATTTCTCATTAAATGCCAGAAATATAAGAGAGCAGTGCAGTTTTTGTACTTTATATTGCCTAAATTCATTCGATGAGGATACAAACGAAATTTCCAAGTATTTTAGTGGAACCAAAATAAAATTTGACGTCGCTACCGGAATATGTATATTTATCAATATATACTTAATAGCTCTGTTTTATTACATCCTGCACTGTTTTATTAATATCAACACTATATGAGCGATATATTATAACTATAACTATATATATATATATATATATATATATATATAACAAGAAAATGGTCTGAAGAATGTCACAAAAAGAGATTTTAGAAAAATTAAAAATGTGACAATCAAGAAAGGTGGATTGATCAGCAAGAAAATATTTGAAGAAGCTACTGTTACAATTGTTAACAGAAAATATGTAGAATATAAGAAAAACTTCAGCTAAAGGCATTCAAACAAAGTACTGCCTTTAAGTAAACGTCACAAAGAGAACCATTCATATCTGGCGATGAAGTATATAAGAAATGATTTAACACGTATAATTTTAGTGATTAATATAGAATTAGATTGTATGGCTGGAATAGAAGATGAACCCTTCAAAGAAATAGTGAACCAACAAGACTTGCAAGAAAACATCGGGGAATAGAGCAATCTTTAGTACTAGTAATTTAGACAGTAAAATTATAGATCCTTTCAAAGATGATAAACAAAATAATTACAGAAAATTATGGTAAGTTCCTTCAGAAGACGCTTTTGAGTGATATAGAGCAAAAAGAAGAAACTTTAAGCGTAGATAAAATTCGTACAAAATAATGCCTCTTTACATTCTGATTATTGTCCATCTTTCCAAAAATGATTTCAAGGACACCAAATTAATAGAACGGCCCCAAAATCTCCAGATATTACAACAATAGAAAATATGAGTGTTTGGCTCTCAGTCTGAGGACAGTGCAGAGTATTTGGAAAGAGTTGTATAAGACAACCCCCTTGATTTCTTATGTGTGGGGCGCAGCTGAGTGAGACAAAACAACAAAACTCCTTGTTACACCAAACTGAAGGCAAAGATTGTAACAACATTCACCAACTTAAACAAGGAGACCGTCCAGAAAAGATGCAGGAGATTCCAAAGTCGTCTGGAGGCCATGGTTGAAGGCAATTGCAATTTTATTGAATACATTTACTCTTTAGTATTTCAAGATATTTTTGTGTAGTTTTGGTAAATATTAAAATGAGATGAAAGTTTTATTTTCATTTTTGCGTAATTTAGACAATTTATCCATCGCACCCTGTACTGTTTCACTTTCGATAATAATTTATCTTAAATATTATCATAAAGCACATAACATATTTATCATATTTATCTATTCTGGTAAATTCTTCAGAATTTACCAGACTCGATCAAATCTTTATTGTGAAAGCATAATAAAATCTTTGTACAGTGTGACTGTAAAAATATAAGTTTTTGAGGCTTTGTATCAGAATGGATCTTGTCACAAAGGTAAAATAAGTGACTGAGTGAAATTTTATCTTCTTTTCATAGCGTTTTGCTTCCTCTTACGTGACAATTTTTTCTTGAAATTTATTTAATAATCATTATTAACTTGCCAAATCCAATTTACACATTAATTTCTGCATATGTATCAATTACGGTAAAATGATAACAAGAGATAAACGCTGAATGAATTGATAAGAACTTTTATCTCACTTCCGCCAGCGGGAATTTGATATGGGATTGTAATTCTCATGGGCTTCAGAAAACTGGACATAAATATTGACAAAATAGTTCCTTCTCACGGATGACAGCAACACCGATAACACCTAATAAATAAGATAAGCTGATTATAACACTGATTACATAAACGGTGTAAAAGAGTGAGAGAGTAAGGAAGAAAGAGCTAGAGAGAAATCATGTAAGAAATTGTCAGATATGGTGATATAAACGTTTCGAATGTTGTCGTTACATCACCTTCCTGTGACGTGTTTAAGTAGTTCTTTTCCTCCAATGCAAACAATATCAGCTTCGCACACACACACACACACACACACACACTGACTGTATGTATGTCAGTCTGCCTATCCGTCTGTCTGTCTCTGTCTCTGTCTCTGTCTCTCTCTCTCACACACACACGCATACACGCGCGTGCGCGTGCGCAATCACATTAACAACATTATTTAGTACTTTCGTGCCAAGGTATGAATATTATTCCCCACAAAAATATTGATTTCAGACAGAAAGATGTTGACATTATCGTTACAATGACAAAGTCAATGGTCGTAAGAGTAAAGGGCATTAATACTCTTTCGTGCTACAAGGAGGTACTTAAGTACTCACGGTCCAAGTAAGAAGTAATTCACCCAATTCTGATTGTTGGCTATGTTTAGGAAGATGGTCGAACTTCTTTATACGGTCAGAAATCACTTTCACAAAAATAATGTTAGCAACAAGCAATCAACTGAAATATTCTTCTTGATTGTGTTTTAAAAGTACAGCATGATTATCATCATTTTAATTTTTCAAAAGATTATTTTCTTTAACTTGAAAATAAGATTCCATGAAAAACAAGTTTTGTTAGGAAATCTCTAAACTACACAGATACCTAAACAAATGATATGATTAAATAGAAATAGATTCAATGTGACAGAAAAATGCAGATTTTAATTGTAAATTTATGTAATTACAAGCAAAAACTATTAGTGAGTACTTGTATTTGAGAGATCAATTATACGTGCGTACATCAATGAACGATAAAAAGAGAGAAAAGTAGAATAGATTTTAATTTAGCGTTCCATTTTTATCACCGACTCGTTTCCCTGGTCTTCAGTCTCATCCGTAAACAAAACATCAGCTGAGTTAAAAGGAACGTTTCTAAACAAATATAAAAAGCATTACCAAATGAATTTTCCATGCTATTAAAGTTACGGTTGGTATTATCTTGTCGAATCCGATAAATCTGGCACAAACCGCGATCAACATCATACGGGAATAAAATCTAAATGAGTATATGCTGAATAAAGAATCGGAAAATGATTTTTGACTCTTGTTAACACAATTACAGTTAAATAATCACTGATTTGAACGAAAAAAAAAGTTTGCTAGTCCACTTCTGATGCCCTGATTGCCATTGCAAATAGAATCAGTAAATAATTCATTAATAAATGCATCACGAGAAACATTGCCTGATATCTGAAAGCCCCTTGACAAGATATCACATAGGAAATTACTACACAAACTCTCCAGCGATGGCACCTCTGCAAATATCAAGCCCTTATTATCAGATAGGTCCGTGAAGCTCGTAGTTAATGTCCAGTCTTCTGAAGTCCATAAGATCAGTTCAAATGCTCACCGTGCCTATCCCATCGGCACTACCTTCTTTCTGCTTTATATTAACGATCATTCAAAGAACATACTAAGATCATTAGTAAATATTTATTCAGATGAAACCACGGCTTGTGGGTGCACAGCCAGAAGTATAGTTGATCAGAACCTGGCAACTAATGTCTCCTCTAACCTAGCTCTAACTGCTGAAAGGGTCAAAATTGGTTTGTAAAAACCAAGTTATTGAAATCACCAAGTAGACTGATTTTTTTCCAGTCATGATGAATGGCTATACCCTCAACGAGTTTGTTTACCTTGAACGTTTATTGGAACTCAGACTCACCCTCGACCTCAAGTGTAATTCATATCCATGATCAATTGCTAAAGATGCTGGAAAATGGTCGGTTCTTTGTGCTACTCCTAACTCTTCCTGTGATGCTTTATCCTAATAAAAGTCGAATCTGACCAAAAAATGGAATCCTCTCATTCCACCTATGGCAGAGTACAAAGGCGTTTATACAAGCCTTATGAGCAATTATTCCCCTCCTCACATCCCCTTTCCCACAGATAAAACGTCGCAAACCTATCGCTAGTTCTATGACAAATTTTCACACCAATTCCACCAATCCAGACCTTTACAGTTGGGATCCACCATGTCACTGAGTATTCCATTGGTAAGAAAGAACTACCACTGGCACCCTTTTCCCGAGAACCGGTACATTATGGAACAGAATCTCGAGATCATGCTTTGCAATCTCTACAATCTTAAACTCGTCGATTCTAAGGTTAACCGTTATCCATCCTACATATCCTCATAATATGCACATTTCATCCTTTATGTCCATTCAACAATCTTGTTCATTAATCCCCTAATTGAGTGGCTCTTGGGACATATATATTGTTTAAAGTGTCCTGAATAATTTAGCGAAATATTGCACATGTCGATAATATCAATTTGTAAGTCCACATATGAGAATAAACAAATAATGAAAATTCTTATGAATGATAAAATAAGAATTCTGAAACCAAAGATAATGTAACTTGTATCGAAAGCAACATGTGTTCCATAATTACATTTTTAACGTTAATTATTTTTTCTCCTATTCTTGTTGCATTTTATATTGATCCTATAATATAATCGCCAACAGTAAATGATAATAGTGGGTAATAATCTAATCTCTTTTATTTTCCGATGGCTATGATCCCGCCAGATTAATAATCAGCGTTCTATTAGAAACCGATGTATCTGCTTTTTCTGCCTCGGTTTCAGTATTAAATCTACAAAAAAAATGCATATAATGGTTCTTCATTATCACAAATTCCCACTTTCACATGCACAAACCCGCGCTCACACACGTAGACAAAAATTTATTTCAAAAGGAAAAAACTGCTTATCGTTACTTTTATCCATATATTGATTAATATGCGATATAAATGTTCACCATTCAGCTCCTACTTGAAAAACATTTCACACATTCTTGTTAATATTTGAATCAACAATCATGGACATTGCCAGGATCGTTGCATTGTCTGTTTTCTCCAAATTTGTTTGTTTTCCGTCTTTAGACATTTTCCGCATTTCATACGTTTTTTTTTTCTTTTACACTAATTCATTTTTGTGTGTTTATTCATTCAAAAGGATGAATATTTTTTTTCAGTTTCCGTCTTATTTAGAGCTTCCATTTTTACAGTCATTATTCTGATTTTTTAAAAATCTTTTTCAGCATTTCTATTTGTTTTTAATTTATTCACGCTCTTTCTGTAATTTATTATCTAATTTCTTCGATATTTCATTATTTCTTATATTTCATACTTGTAAAACCTAAATGTTTCGTTTTATTTTTGGGTTTTTTTATTTATTTTTATTTTGTCGTTGTTAATTAGCTTTATTTACTTGTTCTTATTTTGATTTCATCGTATTCTTTGCTTTCTTATTCTCATTTTATTCACCTTTCTCTTTATTTTATATTCGTATTTTCCATCCATTACATTTTTTCATTCTTTCTCTTTCTATTTTTCCTTAATATTTCACTTTACCTTTTCTCCTTCTTTTCGTTCCTTCACTTATCTCATTATTCTTTCTTTTTCTTCCTCCATTTTTCTCTTTATTCTTGCTTTTTGGTTCTTTACTCTTCCCTTTCTTCCTTCTTTTTATTCCTTCACTTTCTCATTATTCTTTCTCATTCTTTTCTTTCATTAAGTTTTATTTTCATTTTCCCCATTTCTCGAGTAGTCCAATTCAGTTTACAAACACACGTGATCATGTAAACTTTCTTTTCTCGTCGTCAAAATTTCTTTCACCTCTGCCATCTTTCCACCTTATCTGATCGTTCCCCAACACACTCAACACGTAAACCTTTTCAAACGTTCACATTGGCACGTGGACAAGTAATCATTTCTCTCTCATTCCTCCTCCTCATCTCTCTCTCTCTCTCTCTCTCTCTCTCTCTCTCTCTCTCTCGCTCAAATACACTTACACTCGCTTGTACATTCTAGCTTTCTCTGTTCACGTGGAAGTGAACCAAATTTGTTGAAGGTGGTAAAAAGGAATCCGCCATAGATCGGAAGGAAATATTCACTTAACTCTTAACTTGCGTAAAACAAATTCTAATATCAATTTCGTGCTTGTAAAATTTACATTTGGAAATGACAGAAGAGTTTACAAGTCAAATAGTCTTCCCTATTTCAGCACTGTTGATATATACATTAAATTTACAACTTAAACTGCTTACAAGGCTGCATAAGGCGAAAGGTAAAGAAAAATGTATTGCCTGTGACTCAAAAATCATTATTCCTTTTAACCTTACTTTTTATCTGGGTTCGAATATCGACTACTAGTGACATATCAACCAATCAAGCAATGGTATTTACAAAACTGAGCTCTTTTTGGAACAATTCCGCACTAGTGAGGATCTAATTCACTAATTAACTGGTCTGGTTTTGCCATATTTCATTTTCGGTACTTGACCGGGCAAAATCTTAAATCTTTACCATTATTGCACATAGCAAACATTCCTTTTCTCTTTTATTTATTTTCTATGTATCTTAGTATCTTCATATCTATCTATCTATCTATCTATCTATCTATCTATCTATCTATCTATCTATCTATCTATCTCACGCTCTCGTATTCTGTCGTCTTTCTGCTGCAAGCTATCTTAATTACTACCCCTTTATCTACTTCTTTTTCTCCCATCACAACTCTACCGCTCTATTTTATCAGTTTATTCATTCAGTTTATCTCAATAAAATGCTTTCTTCTCTTTCTTCATGTTATAATTGTTCACACTACGTACACATATACACTATTTGCAACTGATGATGACTATATATTTAATATTTTTCCAACTAATATTTTCACTGATGGAATGATAATTACGATTCTTATATTATGATGTATTGTTAGTTTGTTTCGTATTAGGGTAAAGTAAAGGCAGATTAAAATGTTTTCATTCTAATTCCCATTAATACTGAAATATATTTCAGGGCTATTACTCCTACAAAAACAATAACATTATTAGGATTTATACAATATTTTTAATTGCTGAATATCAATAGCGTGGAAGAAAATGTGTGCGCACGTCCCCAGTGGTATTTTCAAAAACTAGTTGAAAACCAGTTTTTCCCTGAAAATACTCACCGAATAGACGACAAAGAAATTTTTAAAAAAAGAAAAAAATTGATATCGTTTTCCCCATTGCATTTTGATAACACTTTTGAATAAAAAACCTTTCTTTCCGGGTTTGTGAAACTGGGCTACTCACTGGATGCAGAAATTGAACGGAAATATCTATATAATTATCTATTTGTTTAGATAAGCGTATCACGATTAAGTTCAGTTTTCCACACATTCAGTTGTTTTGGGTTTTTTTAAAGTCTAACAAAGAAAAATTTCCTGACATTTACATAAATATAAATAAAGAAGAAAAGAAACAAAAAAATAACAAGTAATGAATAGGAATGAACATGAAAGAAAATGAATAAAGGAATTTAATTTATTAAGGAAAGAAATTTAAGCAGTTTTTAATTAATTCTTTTTTAAATGCTTTCGTTTATATTTGTTTTGTTGATCTAATAGGTTTCCTAAGAAGATCTAAGTGTGCATAATGAACTTTGAGAGGAAAGACAACATTGAAGAAGAGAATGAATACAGAGAAAGAAATAATAAAGAACAATTTAGAAAAGAGAAAGAAAGAAGCTGAACTAATGGAAGTAAAAGTTTAAATAAATATATTTTTCTTTACAAACAAAATACAGAACCATAATGTTCCCCTTAATTTCATGTTTCACTTTTAAGTGACATATCATCCTGGTAATGATAATATCATCAGAAAGACTGCTACTTTCAGCTTCCGCTATTAGCACTAAAACTGACATCTCTCTTGATAATGATAAAAGTAATAACCATATTAATAATAATAATTATAATGATAATAGCTATAATAATAGTAATAATACTGACAGTGATACAAGTAAAAATATTAAGGAGACAGATTGTGGCACTAATAGAAACGCTATAATTGTGGCACCTATCAAACTGACGAGCAAACGATCGTTGTTTGGCTTGAGTGTTGGGTTTGAAAAATGTCACCTACAGGCACGAATGCTTCAGATTGATTTCTGACACTGCGCTTAAACATTTCTGGTAAGGGTAAGCCTCGACAGTTGTGAGAAGTAGGGAGGTCAAAAGATGGTTTACGCAGACAAAGAAATTATGCAGTCACAAGGGAATGAAGGGAGATGCGACCAACCATTCCGCCGACTTTAATAATAATAATAGTAATAATATGTTTATTATCTCTGTCCTTATTATGTCTGAATTGATCTGTTGTTTATGCTGTATAAAGTTTGGATAAATCAAATTCTATGCCCAAACCTCGGCTTCCGAAGTCGATTCTGAGAGGAAATCAGTGACAGTTAACGCAATGATTGCCCGGAAGAATTATTGTTGATATTTATAGATTACTAGTGTCGCCAACTCGAGAAAAATATCCTGGAAGAAGACAGTGGTTCGAGTTTAAAATGTTTTCTTTCCCTTAGTTAAATACGTGTGTGGTAGCGTGTGTGGTAGCGTGTGTGAACGATGAGTAAATTCTGAAGCTTTTGTGGTCATGGATTTTGCTCCAATGTTTGAAGATATGACTGATGAAGGCAAAAGGTCTATTCTGTGGTGGTTGGTGTGATTTATATTGCTATTGTTTGATTGTTGATAAATATTTTATCCACGACGAATGTCGCTATAATTATTGATTCCTTTAATTCATTGATTTTCTTTATTATTATTATTAATATGGTTATTTCTTCTTCTTCTTCTTCTTATTATTATTATTATTATTATTATTATTATTATTATTATTATTATTATTATTCGTGAGTGCGTGTATCTCACCAACAATATGATAAAAGTATACCAGCTACATGCATCACAGCCAAATGTACGTGACAAGTTTTGATAAAAGCAACGCGTAACCTTGAAGGTAGAGTCCACTTCGAAATAACTTAAAGTTGAGTAACCCAATCTGCACAGTCGGTCTCCGACTGAGAATGTTCCCAAGTATTTATTTGTGTTTGAATGTTTTATCATTGCTCATCTTTTTCTATATAAATGTGCTAGCTAGTCTATATTTCCATTACATTAAATTTCATCCACTGTTTTTACGCATTTCCGTCTATTATTTGGTTAACACTTTCCCTACTGCATAACCCGAGAAAAAATAACCCTCTAGACATCGGACATTGATTCTCCCCAACTACACCCGTTCATGAAGAGATGCACAGTGTGTCAACATCTGGTTATGGTCAAACATCTGACAAGCAAATCTGTGATACTGAAAGGGATATTTACTGTAATCCACCTTAATTCATAAAAAAAAACATGTACATATTAACGTTTACAATCAATTGAATTTAGAAATCATGTGAGCTATGACTGGTGTTGCATCATGTCAGTATTATTATTATTATTATTATTATTATTATTATTATTTCAGGTATTTGAATGTTCAGACCTGATACCTAGTAGCTATAACCAGTGATAAACATCAAGCATTCTTTGTGCTTATCCCTCCTATCTCCAGCACCATCCTCAGTATTCTCGAAAACACCAACACCTGTATAGTCTGCACAGTGTCAGGTCTCCTATTTTAACATGATTCTTACCACATCAATTATTATAAACATTATAATAACTGATGTTGTAAGAACCATGCCCTAACCTTATTGTTCTACAACTTCTTCGGTTCATGGACGATGTCCTAGTATTTTTATAATTTTATTTTCACTCTCTAATCTGATGATACGGCCACCTCTAGCAGATTTCCATTTCTTTGCTGCTTGAGTAGTTTATTATTTTCATTTTCTTGAGCATTGGTTTATTTCGTCCATAATAATTATTTCCATCTTCGAACGCAAATATGATTCTCCGCATATCTTCATGCATTTTAATATTCCTTTTAAACAAGTTTGAGTCATTCATCTATAACATGCTTTATAATCTCTTGTCGTCTGATCTCAATAGAGACATTTAATATTATTCTGGGTTTTGTCTATTTTTACTTTGATCTTAATGGTCCTAATACATTTTTCTTGTCTGCACTGATACGATATTAATTTTCTCTTTTAATGTATCCTCTGCGTAATTCAAGATTACGATACTTTTATTTTTAAAATCTGATTTTCCTTGTTGTATTCTTGTATTTGTGGATTTTTATTACAGCTTTTTATGATGAAGGACAATTAATTTTTTATTTATTTTGCCGATTAAATTTTATCCGTCGGGTCACAATACCTGGTGTTGATGCAAGCTTATTTTCATTTCTTTCTAAATATTGACATTATCCTGAGGTTCAAAGCTTTGTGCATCTTCGATAATTTCTTGTCCAACTTAGAAAAGGCTAGGATGGGCTCTGAGTACTATTCGTTTTGCCAATATATGTATACATGTATATGTAGTATAGCACCAACATGTGTATATGTAATATATTGCTATGATGTATATATGTGTTCCTGTAATATGGTGAAATATATATATATATATATATATATATATATATATATATATATATATATATATATATATATATATATATATATATATTGGTGCGAACTACCTGATCCGTTATCCTTATATTCTGCAATTTACTTTTCTCTTCGGACAAGATTCTGATATCTATTCTCTTGTTATCTCTCTCACTCTCATTCGCTCAGTTTTAACTTATAGTTCCCCGGTTAGCGACAACCACTGTCTGAAAGATTTGTCAATACGAACGAAATATAATCTCCTGGGCACTATCAGAAAATCCTTCGGTATTTTACTGTTCCAAAGAATCTTACTTACTTATTTCTCGAGTAATTGATGCTTATATGCTTTCATTGCAAACTCCTGTTCATTTATCCAGTTCCCAATAAATAAAACTTCCCGTCCAGTCATGTTTCTAAATTTATTGCATTCACTTAAAACCTCTTTCTTTCTCTTACCTCTCTATCTCTCTGCACAATACCCTTATAAGAAAACGGATAATTTTATCATTATTATTAGTTCTAATATATTTAAGGCTCTCTGCTCTATAAATTTTCTTCTGCACAGACACTTTCATGCCAGTGCATTTATTTTATATGTCCCCTATTAATCTATGAACTCGTTTTTCTTCCCAGCCTTGGATTTAGGTTTTAATTCAATTTCCTTTGTCTATTTGTCCGTTTTTTATTCAGTTTCTTCTTGTCGTTATTCCCAATTCTCGTCCCCTTTTTAAAAACTCGTTTTGTTTCGGGTTCCTTTTACTTATTCTTGTGCTTTACTGAAAATACCACTTCCGACAATTGAATAATTAGAAACATAGCTAACACACATTTTATATTTCGACCGAGACCCTAAGAAATGATTTCACTGTTAATTCCTTTATTTTGGTCTTCATTTATCCTGAACATATCTGGATATATAGAATATTGCTGTTGTTTTCAGCACTAGCAATGATTAAGGCTATCATCAATATAAACAGCTACTATTATTTTATCCATTTATCGTTCTTGAGAATTAGGTACCAACAACGCATTTAAATTTATCCTCATCACTCAAATACCGTCTCTCAACTTATATCTAGATATAAAATTCTGTGACCTTTGTCTATTCGTCACACCCTTAAAAATAGCCATACATTGACCGATCGAAACCAAATGTTTAGAAGTGCAAACAGTTTAAGGGGATATAAAGTACAGTTGGTTTTACCAGGATACATAGCTTAGTACACTGATTTTTTGAAAAATTAAAAGTTTTATTATTTAACATACAAAATAATCCAACTATATTAAAATCAGTTTAAT